TCCACCGCCACCCCTCCCCTCCTCAGCCCCGCCACTGGGGCCCACCCTGGCACCACAACCCACTGCCTCCACCCTCTCTCCGGCCTCACCACCCCAAACTCCCCTCCCATGCCCACCTCCCACGGCGCCTCTTCCACCTCCTCCGCCTCACAGCACACCGGCAAAAGCACCACCACGCTCGACTCCGCCACCTCACCCAACGCCATCCTAACAACTGGCACCTTCCTAGCAACCCCATCATCCGCCACGTCACCACTCCCCTTCTCCTCCTCCGCCTTTCCCTCCAAATCCTCCTCCACTCTCCGCCTCCCTCTCTCCGTCTCGACCACCGCCAGTGCCCGCTCCAGGGCCGCCCGGCTTAGCTCGGGGGATGACGAGGCAGACTTGTGCTCCTGCGCCTGCCTGTAGTACATGAATGCCAGGCAGTCCCCAGGGGAAACCCCTTCGAAGCTCTCCCAGCCCCTGTCCCCGTACCTGCGGGGGAAGTCCTTCATGGACCTCGCCAGCTCCTCCGCGGCCCTTCCCGTGTCCAAACCCTTGGAAATGATGAATCGGGCGGCCGCCACGCGCTGGGGCCCGTTGAGGGTGCGGATCTCGTACAGGATCTCGGGGGAGGAGGGGGAGTTGAAGAAGGAGACGGTGTCATCGTCGGACAGCTGGACGAGGGAGTCGCGGACCTGGGCAGCCACCACGAGGCGGTTCTGCTCGACGGAGGGGATTCCGGTGAGCTCCTCGAGGGTGGAGGAAGTGAAGCCCTCGCTGACGAGGGAGGGGATGAGGGGGGCGTACTCGAACCAGCTGCCGAGGCGGTTGGTGAGGATCTCGAGGCGGCCGTTGGTGTCGAGGTTGCGGTAGCGAGGGGGGAGAGGGGACGGCGGCGGACGGAAGGGCTGGTAGAGCTGCTGTTTCTGAGGGGAGGGGGAGGGGGATGAGGAGGAGGGAGGGAGGATGAGGGCGGAGACGGAGAGGGGTTTTGGAGGCGGCGAATGCGGAGGGTTGAGACGGTAGAGGTGCTGCTGCTTGGGGAGGAAGGGCGTGGCGAGGAATGGCGGTTTTGGAGTGTTGACGGTGAGCGAGAGCATGATTGATTTTGATTTTCCTATCTTCTCCGCCTCGCGGAATTGATTGGATTTTGGGGTTAAGTATAAATGGAGGATATATGGATTGGATTCTTCAAGCTGCATCCACATAATAATATCTCAATTCAAATTGCTCTTTAAAATGAGTACGTGAAATTCAATCTTAGCCACTCATTTTGTCTAGATCAAAATCAATTAAAATATACATTAATTAAATAATAAAATAATTATTAGTTGACTCCAGCGTTGACCGTTGACTTCCGATGAAAATCGTTGACTTTCGGCGTTGACCCGTTGCATTGAAATAAATAACCTAGGAACAAAAGACACTCAACCTTGAGTGGTGTAGTGGTTGCATTGGTTGCATTGCTTGTGTTCCTTCCATGAGGTACCAGGTTCAAATCTTATGGGTTACAATTTTTTTATATAAAAAAAAAAATACAACTAACTTAGCAGCATCAGACAACTAACTTAAAAAAAAAACCTAGCAACAAAAGACAACTAACCTAGCAGCAAGAAAGAAATATCCTAGCAATAAAATACAACTAACCTAGCAGCATCAGACAACTAAAGAAATATCCTAGCAATAAAATACAACTAACCTAGCAGCATCAGACAACTAACCTAGCAGCAAGAAAAGAACCTAGCAACGGACAAAAGACACTCATGCTCTCTCTCTCTCTAGAATTTTTCTCTGCCTTCTCTCCAGAATTCCCCTTAACCAAACCCAACCCTTCCACCAGTAAACCTTGTCTCTGCTTATCGTTTCAGTTCCCCGGCAAGCCGGCGCCGGCGCCGGCGCCGGCCGGCCGGCCTCTTGTCAGTTCTCATATAAGCCATAAAATTAAAATAAATTCAACCTCAGTTCTTAACCTAGCTTTCAGTCTCGTTTCATTTTTAGTCATCTAATCTTTTCAACTCAGCCATGACCTCGTCGGCTATTTTACCGGCTGTCAGTCAAACCTCGGTCCCCAGTCATGATTCGGATTTGGAGCTTCTCATATCTCATCCAGAATTTCGAGAGGCTATATCGGCCATTCTCGAAAAAAGCAAATCAAAAAAGATGAAAGAAGGAGATAGCAAGTTTATGATTGAAGAAGGAGAAATCGTAGCAGGCTCCGAGAAGTATAATTTTGAAGCCTCACTGCCGGATCTGAAAGCTATGACGACGAAGTCCACCGGCCCCCTCACAGTGTCGTTTTTGGTAGGAAAAGAGAGTGAAGCTCTGCCGGCAATCCAGTCACAGGGCCTCTCTTTCTCTCCAATGGAACCGCCGCTCTCGTTCGGGTCGTTTGCTCCAGCACCGGGTGCCGTGTCGTTGGAGATGATGCCCAAAGCCGCCACTTCCACAGCTTTGACCAGTCAGCGCCATTGCCCTGCAGCTCAACCTTTATACTCTGAACATTTAATAGGGTTTAGAGAACCAAGCAGGGACGTGGCAAATCCTCAGATGATTGATCCAATTTTTAGTCATTTCAACAATTCGGGCCATAACTCTTTAACTGGGCCCAATCCCCTTTCTCAGGCCGTCTCTCTCATTGGCCCAATATCAGCCCCCCTTACCACTTTCTCTTACCCGATCTCTACGGCCCAAAATTCTTCAAACCACGCCCAATCCAATATCCCACCAGACCCCATAACCTTTAATCCAAAAACCCAGCCAATCCTGGGCCTTCCTTACGGGCCAAATCTATCCACTGCCTCTCAACCTCAGCCCACCTTATCTCATCCAAAAACCCAATCAATCACCCATCTCAATCCCCAGGCCGTTTCCTCCCAACAGTCCCAGCCCACCATCAATAAGAACAGCCAAATGGCAGGCCCTACTATGCAACCTGTTACCAACATCCGACCGGCAGAGGACGAATGCCATATGTCCGGCGCCGGCGCTGGCGCCTCCACGACTGCCGGAATATTACAACCGGCCGGCGGTACATCCGGGGCAACCACGAAGTCGGGCGTTTCGGCTGGAATCCTCGGACCACGTCCAAAAATCACCCTCTCCAGCCCAACAGCCCACCGGAATAACCACCTTGGCGGCGGGGCAATCTGAAACGGCCATTATGTATGTTCGCGAAGATGGCGTAGTTGTTGCGAGTCCAGACGCGATGCACAAGGTCAACCCCGTTTCAACCGGGCCTCAACCGGGCACTTCCACTGGCCCGCTTTCCTTCTGCGAAGCGATTACGGGTAAAAGAGATGGCGGCTCAACCAAACCGTGCCCAACACCAAAGGATTTTACCTTTGACGGAGCATACGAACATGCCTGCGGAACCATCATCTGCTCAGAGGGGAACAAAGTGAAGGCCCGATACACTGAAGCAGAATCTGTCGCTCTTGCAGGTAAGCTGGCTAACACTCTGGTCTTTAAGTTTTCATATGCTATCCCCGCTCCCCGAGATATATCTGCTGGGTTAGGAAAACTGGGTTTTAAGGGTAGAGTATCGTCGAAGTGGTATAATTTCAACCACCTTTTAGCCTCGTTTCACCTCCCCGAGGACTATAACGAGGTCTGGCTTAAGTCCTCAATTCATGTGTGTGGATGCCCAGCTAGGGTGTTCAAATATTATGCCGAGTTTAACCCAAAGACGGAGGCGCCGGTCGTCCCCGTGTGGTGCCGCCTTCCTGGCCTCCCATCTTTACGATCGTCCTGCCATCACTACACTAGCTAAGTGTATTGGGCAGCCGATTCGTATCGACGCCCCGACGGCCCTTCAGACGAGGGCTAACGTGGCGCGATTTTGCGTCGAGATAGATCTGAGAGCTGAGCTTGTTCATGAGATTGAGATTGAACAGGGCTCGGAGTCTCTTGTTCAGCGGGTGATCTATGAGAAGATCCCCGCTTTCTGCACCTCGTGCAACCACGTGGGTCATGTTGCGGCCGATTGCTACATCAGTGGCAATAAGCCACGGCCCGCTCTCCCGCATCGCCATCGTGCGACCCAGCAGGGAACCTCCACCAGCCGGAGGGACCCGAAGGGAAAGGGCAAAAGCCCTCTCCGCGCGCCCGAGACCCCGAAGGGGTCTAAGGATAAGGGCAAGGCTGTGATTGTCGATACTTCCCAAACTGGGAAGGATGCTCATCCTAACCAGACAAAGCAGTTGGCCTTAGTGGGTCCCAAGCCCAAGTCCACGGGCTTTCTCCCTAGACAGACCTTACAGACGGCCTTCAAGGCCAACCACTCCTATTTTGCTATTCTCTCCCCTGAGGCAGAGAAGGATGCTGTTCCTTCCTCCAGCAGGCCTCCTAAAATCACCGATCTTACGCTTCTGGATATCGATGACCTCCTTGGAGACGACATGGACCTGCCGGTCGCCACACTCAGGGGAGAGTCCATCCACCTATCCGATGATAGTGTGCGCGATGCCGGTCCTTTGACCGTGCGCGCATCTAGCCCGGTCCGATCTTTGGATTTGAGGGCTACTGCTGCCACCGCTCTCCCAAAAGGAGATGAGTCGGCCCATCCTCCCCCTGCTGGGATTGGGAGCTCTGTCGATCTTATAGCCACCTCCCAGCCTCCTTCTATCGGTGAGCACCCGAGTGCCCTGCCTGCTGGACTCCCTCTTTCACCCATCCCCGAGCAGATATGCGGGCTTAACCGCGTTCAGCATGACGTCTCGTGCGAGAGCTTCGCCTCTAGTGCTTTCCTTCACCTAGACAGACAGGAGACAGCCCCGGAGATGGGGCAACCCGCTAGTGCTGCTATAGGTCAGTCTGTCCAGCCAGACGACTCACAGGCCACGAGTACATACCGAGGCAGACAGACCTCGAGGACCAGAGACACGCACCGCACGAGTCGGCGGACGATCTCCCCTGCTATTGGACCCTTCCGCCGCACGACACGAAGGACGATCTACCCTTATTTAGGTGACCCGAATCAGCCTCGCCATAGCGGACTACGTCCGGTGGCTCTTGCGACCGTTGATATGTCCATCACATCCATTACTTGGAATGGCCGTGGCCTGGCAAATAGGGCTACTCTCTCTCACCTTCATTCTCTCATTCGTGACCTCAGAGTCGATTTTGTTGGCTTTATTGAGCCGATGATTCGCACTCCTTCTTTTGACCACTACTCGCGTCGCCTAGGCTTCCACTCGGGCGTGGGTAATATTTCGCACAACATCTGGTTTTTCCACTCGCGTGACTACACTTGTCGGGTCCTCCGCGACACCGATCAGGTGCTTCACGTAGAGATTTCCACTGGCCACCTCCCGGTGCCCATCTTTCACACCTTGGTTTATGCCAAGTGTACTAGGGTCGGGCGATATGACCTTTGGGACACCCTGCGTGAGATTGCCGAGAGTATGGAGGGATTGCCATGGATGGTTAGTGGCGATTTCAACATCTTTCTGCATCCCGATGAGCGTGTGGGTGGCCGTACGGACCGGTCACGGGAGATGTGGGATTTTGC